CTGTGTTGCCTTGTTTCTGCTGCAGTCCCTGCAGGTATAGTCAGCTGGCACATGGGGATGGTGTTTACCCTGATGTGAAGTTCTGAGTTGGTTCAGACTACAACAGACAACAGAAGGTCCTGCTCACCTGCCAGTTCCTCCCAGCTGGAAAGAGAGCGGTGAGCAGCTTCAGTTGTAATTTTTGGGAACAGGGAGGTCCTATTACATCTGAACTGGTGGGATCACTGCAAGCTAAAGCAGCTGGATGGCTGCCCACAGAAGATTCTTCTGCTGCAAGTGCAACTACTAGCGGGTCTGATACCCTGGGGATGTGGTACCCTGCTGGGTTATTTTCTTTTTCTGAAAAGCCACTGCTCTCGTTAAACTGCTCAAGAGATGGTGAGAGCTTGATCTGGAATTGCATGTGCTGGACAGCAAGGAGAATGGGCTGCATTTTTCTATGTTCCCACTCTGAACACCAGCGAGCCCTGGGGCACCCAGCCCGCCTGGCCATGGCTGGGGCTGTTCCCTTGGCACAGAGTCCCCTCTTGCAGTGGTGGCTGCCAGTGGCTCTTCTCCCTAACTGGCTGCAGTCACCCCCACGAAAACTGCCTCTTCACAACTGGTTTGCAGTACAAAACTTGGCTTTTTAACCACTAGCCCATGCTGTTTCCTTTCCTGTTCAGTGGATTTATTTACAAACTTGCTGATTTTTCCAGATACTCGGCTTTCAGAAGCGTTCCTGGTGCTGAGCAGCTACAGCCTGTGCACAGCCCTTCCCTGCCTGTGTTTTGAAACCCCAGCAACTTCGTTGCTGTACCAGCAGGATGGGGAGGGAATGAACCTGGCCTGACTCTCCATGGGCCCGGCAGTGGTGCCTGTGCCATGCTTATGTGCTACCTCTGGTTGTTTTCTGTCTCGACCTTGCACTGAGTGTGACACATACAGGTGCACAGAACTCTGGGTGCTGGAAGATGTGCATGTCGCAGTATAGCTGAGGCTGAGTGGGTGTTCTGTTTACTCCGTGATGGCAGTTTCCACCATCACAAGCAATAATAATAACCTACTGAGTACAGCCCTGCCCGACTGCACATCCAGTGACTGTGCAGGGACCCTTGGTTATTGATAACTAATATTAGCATCTACAAACGGGTACAGGGAATGTGCTGCTGAGGCCACTCAACCTGACAAGGCTGTGAGAAGCAGCATCTGGAGCAGTGCCAGAGCTGCTGTCCACAGTGCCTGCTGCAGGGCAGGGGAGGGCCAGAGCCATGGCCAAGGTCTGCTGTCAGGAACCCTACCTGCCTGTGCCATGGCTTATGGGGGACAGCTCTCATGGAGGGCAGAGGATCAGGAATTACCAAGGTACTGTTTTTCAGTAAGTATCAGCTTCCTGTCAGACCAACAGCCACAGAACAAAACTATGTCCATCTTTTAACTTGAACTGGTGGTCTGCTGTGCACCACAAAAGAGCAGGGTGGTACCCAGCCTCCTGCTGCTCTCTCTGTATTTGCTGGCTGTTGTGTGGGGACATGCAATAGCCCTGCCTGGTGACAAAATACAGTGTTGGATCAGGTTTATTCTCTTCAGAGCAAATGAGTAATGTACTCAATGCTTGAGAAAACAGAAAAAAGAAAAACTTGGAAAGTGCATGGTCCTGGGCATGCAGCATGGTGGTTTCACAGAGGTTCTTCTCACCTAAATCAGCTACTCCCAGACCAGACTTCAGAGCCACCACTTTGCTGTATTGGCTGGAAGGGAACTGGTTTAATTCTGGTGGTTTAGTGTGAATGCTTTAAATTGGGCCTTAGGCTTTGCTTTGGCTCGGGAGCCCCAGAGCCTGTCCTGGGCTGGGCTGGCAGCCTGCACAGGACCTGCTGGGCTGGGCTGGGCTGGGCTGGGCTGGCAGCCTGCATGGGAGCTGCTGGGCTGTGCACACACATGGGGCCCACCCTCCACGGGGGGTGG